TTAGGGTGGTTGATGGCTGCAGTGGAGCCAATGTAGGCTGGGGGAGAAAGGGGGGGGAGATGGGATCCCCCCTCATGAGCATCATAGATCCACACTTGTATGTCTATAATTTCTATAACCTGATCCTCAGTTATGGAGTAAGCTAGTAATTTAAAGTGCAAAAATCACAGTAGTAAGCCAAAACAATCCCGTTTATGGGATTTTCCAGAGACCACACGTAGATGCATTTGAAAAGTATCAACAGAAGTTATTCTCAAAGGTCATCTGGCTATGGCTTCAACTGTTTATACCAAGCCTTTGCAAATTCATCACTGAATACTTTGTGTAGTCCCTTCTTGGCACATCTTAGGTAGAATCTTATATTGACTACATTCTGACTGCTAGATGAAACCATTTGGAGCCTCTTAGGTGAGCCTAAGTCAATGTCTCTAGACTGAAAATTTGATTGTTTTACACCTTTCACTGATCCATCATTTTTAGTTCTATCCACCATTTTGAAAGGACAGCATATAATTAGGCTAGCATAGCATTCTCATGTAATTCAAATAGCATAGCATTTTATTGTCTTTTAAGAATACAACAGAACAGACCAACCAACCAGCTGCTTCAGACCAACACAGCTACCCACCTGAAGCTAAGAATACAATCTAAGAATCTAAGAATAGTTATTCTAAATTGTATAGTATAGTTAGTGCTGCCTTTCAATGAACACTACACTTGCCTTGAGCCACGGATCATGAGAGTCTTGTCTCAGAATTAATGTTTAGTAATAATTTAATTATTGTATGGCATTGTGTATAGAATAGCCAGGAGATCCGAGGATTGTCTGGCAGTCGCAAGTTCTAGCTCTTAGTGTTGTGCTAGTGGCAAGCTAGACTTGTTTTTGAGAGAGCTCTGAGAGAACAGTGACTGGCCCAGGGTCACCCAGCTGGCTGCACGTGGAGGAGGAGTGGGGAATCAAACCCGGTTCTCCAGATCAGAGTCCACCGCTCTTAACCACTACACCAAACCGGCTCTCTTCCTGTTTAGTGCTGTAACTCCTCACTAGAAGATATGTCAAACACAGTTGCTCTGAACCATGTGAGCCGTTTCCCTCATCACTGAGTTATTTTTACCATACATATCTGGAATTTGTGTGGAAGGCAGCATGCCTTCTTCTATCTCCAGCAGCAATACTATTAAAAATTAAAGTGCTGGTAACTTACTTGATCACCGTACTGGCTCAAGAATCACACTTGCCTCTGAGAATCTCAAAGATCACTGCACACTCTCAAGTGTATTTAAACAGTCCTCTGCAGCTTCATTTTACTGAAATGCTTGCAGTGCCTCTCTTGGTTGACCCAAAGTATCTCATAAGCACGTAAAAGGTTATCAACACTATTCAGAAAATCAAGTCAAAAGCAACAGAAGGACTGAATGAAAGCCATTTTAGGAAAGTAATAGATTTTAATAGAGAACTCTTAACGGCAGAGTTAAGAGGCAGCGCTTAATTTCTGGAATCATTAAGCACTGTAGTTCAAGTCTCCCAGAAATTCACAACACTTTAACCTGCTCCTGGATGTGAGACTACATCGTGGTTAGTGAGTGGCAAGAGAAAGGCACTCTTCATCTGACAGTATGATCTTTTTTAAAAAAAATCCTACTCGATTCTGTCCAGAGTGAAACTGGTACTGAGAAACAAGTTCCGAAGCTAAACCCTGACTCAAATTAAATCCTACTCACAGAGCTATTTTCTTTCAAATTAACAAGGGGTGTCATATGGTGCCAAGTTTACCCCCCCTCTTCCCCCTGCTAGTACTGGACTCTTCACTACTCACTCAATTCCTAGGAGTGAGCCAAGCAAGTAGCCACTATGGAGTAACAGGAATAGCTGCTACATGAGGACCCAAAGGTGTGATCTTCTGGGACAAATGCAAAAGAGGCTATAAATATTGCTCCTTTATAAGGAAGGAGCACTTCACTAGGAAAGAGACCCACTGGAACGTACAGCCGTGTATGTAAGGAATGTTCCATCACCCGGGCTTCATTAATCAATGCGCTGTATTACTTTAACACTCCTTACATACTTGCAATAAATAAGCAAAACTTTGCCTGTGTCTCCAGGAGAAATGACACCCCAAGCAACAAATGTTTCAAATTATTAGTGATTATAGTGTGCACAACCAGAAATGTCTTTGAACCGGCTGATCTCTCCAGGGCAGGTGGCATGCCAACTTACGATTCACTGATCCTCTTCGTCACTTTAAACTCCCAACACTCAGATCAAGCGGAGCCGGATGAAAGCCAAATGCATGGTAAGGAGTGTTTTACAACAAACTCTTTGGGAATGGATGGTCTCCTGAGCTCCTATAATACAGTCCTCCTTGAGGACATTCCCAGTTTTCATTGCTATGTTGTTTCATCTGCATGCCAATTTAAAAGCTACTTCAAAAGTCCACAGTCACTACTGAATCTGATGAAGGAACATCCAGCGACTGCATGGCTACACAAAGGGTTAATGATATGCCAGTGGGATGAAACAGCATTTTGATAAGATGCGGAGAGGATGGAAGAATCCTAGAGAGTGCAACAGTGACCTGGGCTGAAATGGACATTCTGGCCTGCAGGCTCCTGTCTTAATGGCTTCTAACTGGGTTAGAACAGATTAGCCACAAGGTATAGCTAGGGGCTCTGGGGCAAGTGATGCTCTGTCTTCTTGGTGCTTGGGGGGGGGGGTCAACAGTGGGAGGGCTTCTAATGTCCCGGCCCCACTGGTGGACCTCCTGATGGCACTGGTATTTATGGCCACTGTGTGACACAGAGTGTTGGACTGGATGGGCCTTTGGCCTGATCCAACATTGGTGTCTCTTATGTTCTTATGTTCTTAAACTGTGGGTGCCTGGATAAGAGGAACACACCATGGAAGGAAGCAAAATCCTCCTGGCTCTGAATGTCACTTTTTCCCACTGTTACACAGAGCGTCTGGCCACTGACCGAATCACAAGCAAGCCGCAAAGGCTTCATGCCTGATGAGGTCTCCTTGCCAGATTTAGAAAACCCTTAGAACGCTAACTTAAATACACTTAGCAGCAGTAATAATGGTAGTTCTACGAATCCACTTTTAAAGCCGCTTTTTCTTTCCACAAGTTGTTGCACAAGCCTATTCGCTTCATTCCTTTTGGAGGTTTGTGTTCCCAATTTGTCTTTTTTTCTTTTATGGCATTTTCACATTGTTTTACCAGCATTTATGCATCACATGTCACGTCTACACAGTTTATGCCACTTATATGCAACTGATGTAAAACCAGGTATCATTTTGACAGTAATAATGCTATGAGATTGTGTCAGCACAGACTGGCAAAGCAGACAAATGTGGTTTTGTTACAATGAGGAAAAGGCTATGTTAGAAACTAGGATTTCCTAATCAAAAAAGTGTGTTCACAAAATTCAGCGACATAACTATTTGATAATAAACAACACTGAATCCTGCAGTGCTTGAGTCCATGTGAAATGAGCTTAGGGTTAGTGTGGAAGGAAGGCAAAATTTGATATTTGGACAGACAGTTTCAAAGCTCTGTCTAGAATGGAATCAATATTTATCAAATGCCTACCTATCCTCTCCTTTACACATTCTGAGAACAAAAATTGTACCACACAAAGGCTCCTTTCAAACAGCCTTTGTAATCCGTTTTAGCAGCCAGTTGCTAACAGATTTTATTTACTTTTTCATACAAAGCCACTGGTGTCCCTTTAGCAAAGTGGGGCTGCGCCATTTTTTATGTAAACTGCTTTCTTCTGTTTTTGCCTCTTCTTTGTGCTTCTGAATTGCTGCAGTGTGCTGTTTAGAATGTCTGCATTGCTTCCAAAAGTGCTGCTTTATTTTTTCCACCCTTTTCCACGGGGATCTTTCTCACGGGTTTTTTTTGTTTGTTTTTTAAACCCTAAGCTGTGTGCTATAATGCTAGACCAAAATAGCAGTTTAGTGCTGTAACAGGACCATTGAGGTGCATAATTTGGTCTAGAGCTATAGCACACAATTTAGAACATTTTTTTAAAAGTGAGAAAGAATGCGCCATGAAAAAGGGCTGAGGAAAAAAGCATTGCTTTCTCAAATGGCTAGAGAGCTTTAGATCTAAACAGGTTAAAATATGCTGTATGAAACCCCCATCCCTGTATTACTTTACTTGGACTCTGGCCAACAATGGATAACATCTGGTATAGAACAGTAATGTGAAAGGGGCCAGAGGTTCTGCTATTGCTATAATCCCCTGTTTGGTAGTTTCAGAGTAACCCAATTTCCTTCCTGTGAGCTGAATGAGTTGTCTATTTTTGTGTCAGTGAACAGGACGCACAACTGCTTGTCCTCTTCATTCCTTCACAGTCTTAAAGTACCTGAAGATGTTGATGCCCATCCAAACGATGTTCCCAAACTCGAAGAAGAAGAGGAGGAGGAGGAGATTGGATTTATACTCCGCCCTTCTCTCGGAGTCTCAGAGTGGCTTACAAACTCCTTTCCCTTCCCCTCCCCACAACCCTGTAAGGTAGGTGGGGCTGAGAGAACTCTTTCCAGAACTGATCTTTCAAGAACAGCTCTGACAGAACTATGGCTTGCCCAAGGTCATCCAGCAGCTGCAAGTGGAGGAGTTGGGAATCAAACCCAGTTCTCCCAGATTAGAGTCCGCACACAACCATTACACCAAACTGGCTCACCATTAGCATACTCAGTTCTGTCACATACGCAGTTCTGTCACCTTTTCCTACTGTAACCTGCCTTTTAGACTCCCTGCCTTCCTTGAAATTTGCTCCTGAATCCTTTCCTGTTTTTGAATGCCCAGGCTAGAACTGCAGGTGCAGTCTCGCCCAGTGTTGAGTATTGCTTCTGTATCATTGGACCTGATGGTTTTAAAGCTGCTTAGGACTTCTTGGGTACAAAGTGTGATGTGTGAAAAAAACAGACAGGAGGAGATGACAAGAGCCACATGATGGCATTACAGATGCAGGTTTGGCAGGATTCTGTTTACCTCAGACATTTTGACACGTCCTTCCACAAAGGAACAGTCAGCAGCATTGTGGGTACAGATGTGACGATATTTGCACCAGTGGCAAGGGAAGGACCCATTCACACAAGACAGGCAGCTACAAGAGAAAAGAAAAAAGCCACATGAATATTTACAGATGCATCTCACATAGCTGGGGCTTGCTCTTTTTTCTGAAGACAGAGGATCCCAATATTCTTTGTGGTTTGAGACGACTTTTCCATAAGTCCAATGCAACAGTTCATGGGGCAGAAAAAGTTGGACACCACAGGGGAATATCAGGGAAGGACAAGAATTAGAAAGGACAATAATGGTGAGGTTATTTTGTACTGTTTAACATCCCTGTGTAAAGGAAGAATGGATTCACAAGCATTCTGATATGGCCATACTGTAAACATTACCCCAGCTCTTCTCACAAGTGTGTGTGAGGGGGAGCAAAGCGTTTGACTTTTTTTGTACCTGAGCCACAAGATGGCGCCAGTGGAAACATTTTCCCCTAGGATCAACAATGAAGAACTGGGAGAAATGCCAAAGATTTGAATGTCCCATACAGGATCATCCATGACATTCTCTGCAGCACTGTGTCCTTAGCCCCATGCTGGAGCAAATTAGGTCAGTGCTGAATCAAAGATCAGAGCATCCCCGGGGGGTCTGAGGCACCACCTCCAGAGGTTGCATAAACAGATTTGACAAACGTCACATCTTAAAACTTGCATTCCTCAAGCCTTGTGCCAACCGCCTTCTCTTCCTCCCACATTAGGCCCCACAATGCATTCCATGTGGTCAAGCTCCCCTCCCCCCATGACCTCTCCACACTGCGGGGGTCCTTTCCTCACTACCCATTTCTGTGTGGGTTGAATCACAGACTTTGTGAGCTTTATTTTTGGATTTCAGAGAAGGCAGTTTTAATGAACAGAAGGCAAAACAAGAACCCTCCATTGTGGGAAACAAACTCCTTGGGTTTTAATTCAGAGTCATTCATAGGGAAAATGACACAATTACTCAAAGCTGGGTCAGATTAGCATTTCAAGACTGTAATGCCTTTCATTTGGTCACACAGCCACATTTGCAAGCCCTTCTCTAACTTCCTGTGCTACCCACTCAGGCCCTTTATGGGAATGTTCTGTACCTCCCTTCTCCCTACTTTTCTCTCTGTGTACACTTGCATACCTTTCTCCTGTTGACAGTGTATCTGTGTATCCTGACCAGTAAACACCCTTTCCTCAGCTCTTACACTCCCTGGCCAGCAGTTGCAAACAAGGCCCATACTTTGTGTTTGTGTGTGACTTCTAGCTACCCCTAGTAGTGTTCGGACGTTTCAGAGAGGTGGCTTACTATTGCCTGCTTCTGCATGCCGAGCCCTGGTATTCCTTGGAGGTCTCCCTTCCAAATACTTTCCAGGGTCAACACTGCTTAGCTTTAGAGATCTCAAGAGATCGGGCTTGCCTGGGCTATCCAGGTCAGGGCTACAAGGTCCATATTTTGGACTGTGCAACAGTTGAAGGAGCTGTGGAAGCAAGAACTCTTCTCCGGATTTGCTCACATTTGAGCTGAGACACAGACTAAGAGCCCCTTAAGGCCCTCCTTCTCAAAGCGAACAGCAACAGAGGTTTTGACAAAGCCCTCTCCTTATGTGCTTCAGATCTTGCTCCCATTTATCTCTGTCGTGCTCTGGGCTATCAGGACCTGGTTGTAGATGGGCAAAAGCAAATAAATACAACGCAAAATGTCCACATTTAAAATTCTGGATTGCTTCAGAGCCAATATAAATATTTTCCTTAGGCCTAATCGCCATGTTTTATTGCTTTTCACACATTATAAAAGTGGTTTCCTGAACGGCCATGTTTAGCCAGTCTAAGTCTGAACTTGTGACACATATTAAGATGGGAATTGTCCCTCCACCCCACGTCTCACCCAGTTTAGCCTTCGTTTAGACCTCAATTTCTGTCACCATTCATGTGTTTCAGAATCCATGTACTGAAGACAGCCCTGTTAACATTAAGGCAAACACAACTCAATCCTACACATCATCAAGATATTAGTGAACTGGTTAAGTAGGTGTTCTGTCCTAAAGCATCTTAATTAATAGACAACAGTCCTGGCCAGCACAGGACTCCTTAAGGATCATGCACAGTTATAAAAAATGTTTCTGTTCAGGCCTCTACATGAAGCATCTCTTAGGCATCGCATATGTTTACCTAGGACATCCACAGTGCAATCCTAAACAGAGTTGCACCCTTCTAAGGCCATTGACTTTAGCAGACACAGAAGGGTGTAACTTTGCTTAGGAACACACAGTCAGTCTCTATACTCCACACTGTCCCGATGCTTAACCCCTAGTGGTAGTCCTATCCTAAATGCACTGCAGACATGGACCGATGTACTGCCAACAGACTGAGCCTCACCTAAGCTGTGATGCAATGCCACATCCGCCTCTTCTTCTTTTTTTTTAGTGGTCCTTTCCACACCATTTCTGTGTTAAAGCATCAAGCTACAGGACAAGCCACTGGATATACACATTTAAAGTTCTTCCATAATACTGTTGTAATTTCCACGTCATCGCAAGCTACATCAACAGCATTCCCAATGTGAAATGCAAGCCTGCCCCAGAAACACAAACCCAGTCTTCAGTCCTGCAGTATCTACGTACAAGCAACAAAACAAAGAGTCTCTTTTTTCCCCCTTTTGTTTTCAAAGCAGTAGTGGCTTACTTTGTAACCCTAGTGGTAGCAAAATGCACTGCTAAGCCAGAAATGCCTAACCCAAAGACAACCCAGTAATATCGCCAGCCCCCAGAGTCATATTACTTTGGCACAGGCATCTAAGAAAATATACAAACAAAATCAGCATTTTGCACAAAAGCCTCCCATATGAAAATGAAGCTATAAAGTCACAGTGTACAAACCCCTAAGTCCTTTCTCTTCTTTAGTGAGCACCTCTTGGAAAGACATTCTGGGAAGATCTCCACATTTAAAAAAACAAACAAACCCTCAGAGAAGCCACTACTAAATTAAACTAGGAAGTTCCATATCCTCATGCTTCTGCATTGCCTTTACCTTTGCCTTTTGGTTCAACATGTTAAAATCTCTTCCAGTTTTCACACATACACACACACACACACACACACACTCCCCAGTTCAAAATTCAGCAGCTGAAACTTTCCCCACTGTTCCACCTTTGTAGTGTTGAATTTCTGCTACTTATGCTACTGCTGGACTGAAATAGTTTGTTCTAATTGTGTTCTGTTTCCAGTTGCCAGTCACTCGGGAGGACCTTAAGGGTCTTAGCAGGCACAAGCTAGCTCACAGCAGGCCATTCACACATCCCCTCTACCTCTTCAAGAGTCAATAAGACTACTTTGGAAAGAACTGGAACCAATTCACATGGTGAAACTGCAGCAGTGCAAATGTACACTGAGCCCCTTTGAGTTGAGCTGGGGTCATGGAAAAGCCCTCAGGAGACTATTTCACCACCAGCCATAACTATTGTCTACAAACCACAACACAGCAGTCAACTCAGGCCGTGCAACTTCCCTGTAGTTTAGTCAGTTTGGATTGAGCTGCTTCTCACACAGCACTATCATCAACACAATGCATTCAGAGGACCTGGGCGCTTACTTCTCTGCCATCCTTGCGTCAGTGCAGCGTTAACCAACAGTGTTATTCTGAATTGTAAAAGGCATGTTGTCTCGAGGCCTCCAGAAATAAATAGCAGGCATTTCAAAAGCTTGCAGAGATCAATTTGCTCAACATTTTGTGGATAAAATTGCTCTTAAGATGTAACTTGGATGCCACATTGTAGATGTCTTGAATGTTCCCGAGGTATGGATTCTTTCCAATCGGAAAGGAGGCCATGGACAGAATACCCGGAGGCCAAAGGACTACTGAATGCTTATGGGACTCATGTCTGTCATGGTTAATTAAATCTGCAAGAGGTGGGGAGCAATGCTCCCTCTAAGCTGTGGAGTCTTGTGAGCAAAAATTCTACTTTGTGAGCTACCAGCATTAACGTTGTGAGCAAGCAATTTGGCTGCTGCATAAATTAGTTTGCTCTGGAGCCATCCTCCCTGAGCTAAGACAGAAATGTGTGAGCTGGAGGCTAAAAAACTGTGAGTTAGCTCAAACTAACTCAGTGGGAACACTGGTGGGGAGTCCTATGGATCACAAATATCATTCATACATCTTTGATAGAAAGGTCAGTTCCTCCCTTTTCTAAAGAAACCGTTGTTAGGCCTTGACTGAAAAATAATCAGCTTCGGGTCCAGCTGACTTGAACAAAGATGAACTGGTATTTAACCTGCCATTTTTGAGCAAGGTCTTGGACAAGCCTGTGGCCATGCAGCTCCAGGCATTTCTGGAGGTATGACTGTCTTGATCTCTTTAAGATCTAGCTTTTGCCCAGATCAGAGTACAGAAACAGCTTCGCTCACTCTGATTTATGCCAGGACACCAGGATAGCCATGTCAGAGAAATCTGATTGGAAGAAACTGGTATGAAGGCTTTCTTAGCAGCCACTCCTACTCTTTGGAACTCCCCCATTGCACTGTGGACATTACCTTTTTTAGAGGTAATCAACTGAAAATTTGGGGAGGGGGGGATCCAGAAGGCAACAAAACAGGATAAAAACATGTGACGGTTTTCTTCATTACATTTTATCCCCAAAATGTGTAAGTTTAAATGGCTGCTATGATCTGTTTTTCATTTTCTTGTATGGATTCTATTGTAAAGCCTCCTTCACTATTCATTTTTAAACAGAAAGGTGGGGTACAAATTTTCTCAGAAATAAAAACACAGATATGTACAAGAGACCTGTTCATCTCCCCAATCTAGGCATGGGAATTGTGACTCAGTCCACCTAAGGAGGAAGGAAGTCTGTAAAACTTTTCAGCTAGCAGAACACTCTCTTCCCTGGTCCACTGCGAAGACCTCAGTGACCCAATAATGTATTGCTTCAAGTTCCATGCACTGTTAACTACATATAGCAGCTTTTCATAGCTGAAAATACCCAAACAATTAATAGGCAGCTTGCTGGAAGTCATTCCCACATTTCATTTACGTTTTTATTTCCAAACAAAAGGCCAGTACATGCAAATATATGTAC